CACCAATACGGCTGACATCAAATCAACTGTATTTATGCAGATGGAAACGGGGCATCTCAGAGGGATGGAGAACGCCTGGGAAGGAGGGGTGCAAGTGTGGGGGGGAACGAACGGCCGATGGAGGAGGGGAAGGCCGAGTAAAACGAAGAAGAAAAACGTCGACGCCGGGATTTTACCGAGAGAGCCCAGATTTCGATGGCCTGAAAATAAGCCTGTGGATAAGCCTGTAGATCTTCTTACGCCGAAACAAGAACGATCGTTGGACAAAGACAGTCGGAGCGATGCGCCGATGGATGTGAGATGAGCACATCTCACCTCACCAGAGCAGAGAATATGCCCGAATACAGTGATCTACCCAGATCGAACATTCACCGAAAGCATTCACAATCAATGCCCGCCGAACGCCCACCTCAGCGATGCACACATCCGCCCGCATTCCTCCACACACATACCAATCAATGTGTCTGCGCAAGCCATTTCCTCGCTTCCCTTTCGTTCCCGCCAAATCAACAAGCCCCGCCCACTGACAGCGGAATAAATTGGCGCCACAGTCGCTCGCTCGCTTCTGTCAGTAGCCACGTTTCGCATCCGTATGTCGCAGTTCCCACGCTCCCACTATCGTTCGCGCCAATTACTGACAAACGGTGTCCACCGGCTATCTGTAATGCAAGCGACAAGCTCTGCATATTTGCTTCTACTTTCTCCCGCCTCCATCTGATGCGGAAATAAAACGGTTGCTCGCTCTTGTGATTTAATCAGCGCCCGCGTTTCGCATCCGTATATCGTAGTTTTCACGGTTCCACTGTCTTTCGCACCAATTATTGATAAACGGTGTCCACAGATAAGCAGAACCTGTTGTCTGCCTGCAAGGCAAGCAGCAAGTTCTGCTCATACTTTCACCCGCCTTCGTCTGATACTGAGATAAACGGCTGCTCGCTCGTTAATGGTGACGTTTTGCATCTGTATGCCACTGCCTTCAATGTACTGGTACTGAAGAGACGGTTTGATTCTTCTGATTCGGTACTTCACAATCGATAGCGATGACAAAGGAAGCTTCCAAAACATCCGAGCTTTTCCTGGACTGTGATCCCAATGATACCCATCCATCGAGAGCGAGATAAATTAGCGGCGAGCACGAGGCGATGATTTTGGCG